CACCAGTGTCACTGCAGCCTTCGCTGTCCCTTTGTTCCTCGGAGGAATTGTCCCGTGAAGAAACAATATAGTCCATTCTTGGTCCATGATCATGTCTGTTCATATATTACGCTTTTCCATTGACATGAGCAATATTCAGAAAATAATGTTTGGCATATATTTTCTTTAACTCTCAGAGGGGTACGGATGCTTTGTTTAGCAACACGATTCTTAGTGGAACACCAAACTAATTCGATGGAATTGAGATCGGTATGGGAAGACGGGAGCTCGATGTTGGGGCCAAATTACATGTGAACAGTTGTCTTAGAAAAAAAAACAACAAAATATTACGCGAGTGAACTGCACTTGAAATTGGACCTACGCTAAGACACACCACATTACACAACACTTAAGGACGAAAGGGATAGAACTGAGTACCAGGGGCGATGCTTGCTATACATATGTTTCTTTTACTGAACCTTAATATATTAGGAATTAGCGTTTGTGCATTGACAATCTTCTCCCTCGTACGTTACATACAGTTTTTATCGTTTTTTTTGACTAAATAAATCTAAATCTAAATAAATAAATGGCAGTTTGAATTGTTTTGATTTGGGTAGCTGACTACTTTGGCCACAACAACCTCTTCACTCAGACCCTCTCCCTACCCAGGGCCCTACGGTTGGCGCGCAGAGCGAGTGAGACAGCGATATTTTCAGGGGAGTAGCGGTTGAAGGTGGGAGTCACCCCTCCTCGCGCTTGCGCAGTCGAAGGGCGATTTCTGACTTGTCCTGCTGTAGTATAACCGTCTACTACTGTGCGATGTACTGAGAACTGGTACTCCAGCGTTTAGTATTCTGCTCGCTACGTGTCTTAGTAACATAGTTATTATTTCATTAACTTCTACAAAGAACAATTTGTAGACAGGCTACATTCATTGAATTAAACTGTTGTTAAATAAAATATTATTATTCTTTTTTTCTAAATGCATTCTTTGTACGTTGTGTTTGCATTCGTAATGTACATTTGTGGCTCACAAATAATTGTGAGACGCAACATTAAAACTGAATTCTAGAATTTTAAAAGAAAGCGAATAACAATTCAAATACATATTTCCATGAACATGTTAACTGTACGTCTTAGGTGGACTGGCTTTTATACCCCTGATTATAATGATGATAAATTTCAGACACGCCAAGCAGGGTCATTTTGCGAGGCGCGCTCCGGCTCCCGCTACCGGTCTTTTGACGCCTCGCCCGTGCCCATGGCGGAGACGACAGTTGGGAGGCCCGGGCAGTTGCCTCCACGGAATGCAGACGCGCCCTGTTCTAACACTGCGCTTCGTGGACGGTGTCGGGAAGCACCTTATGTATACCGACCCCATGCATATGCAAATTGATCCCCCAATGCGTGTTACAATCTACTGGAACCAGCGCACACCGGCGAGAGAAAAGTTAATTAGGGCACAAAATGAATTGAGACTGTAAATTCATTGTTTGTGTAAAAAAAAATTAACACTTCTATTCTGTAAATTGACGAGACCCGAATGTAATTGTAATCTATAGGTACTTGTAACAGTTTATTTTCTTTGTTCCCAGAAAACTTGAAATACAAGAGCCTTCCTGGTTTGATATAGGACTTTCATTTATGTTTTACTTCTTTCCGTTTCATGTGTTGATAAATTTTACTTATATTTTTCATATATCTAAAATTCAACCTGACAAAAAATGTTTCAGATTTTTTTGCCGTTTTTATGTTTTTTCTTCGATGATCTTCCCACCGTTTTAGACAAGCGTTTTTTGTCACAATCCACTCGAAATGGGTCCACACGTAGGAGTCGGTGCTCCTGCAGTAATTGAGCTACGACGACTCGTTTTGAACTCCCCACTTTACGCGTCGAGTTTTATTACCGGAAGAGCAATGACGATGACGTAACAAATTCTCTTCTGTGTTTAAAGAGATAGAATGGGAAGAGATGCTGCGTTGTGTAATAGCATGTTTTCGGGCAACTTCAAGGAAACAAGAAGAGACAAGCAATGAAACCATTGTCGTAGAAGTGCTGATGAGACAATTTTCACTTTTGCGTTTTCTGAGTATCGAAGCAACTTTGTACTGGCAAATGAGATAATCTGCTATCTAAAATGCTATCTTCTTTTGCAAACATTTTGTCTCGTTTCGGTAGTGAAATGTCTCAAACCGTGTTATGAGATAGCAGTGGTAAATAACAGAGGATTCCCAGATATTCACTGTTGCTTGGATATTTTAAAATATATTGCAACGATTTGGAGAGTGTGCTTTGAGTGATGTTTTATTGTAGATGATTAGTGATACATTTTATAATATATTTTAGTTTCGTACATCGGTATTCCAAAGGTTTGAGTCTCGTAGTTGGCGGATATTCGACACCTAATAAATACCTCTGAATCTGACAGAGAATGTAAAATGGATGAGAACTCTAATGACGACTGCCGGAGCACTACTTTACACAACGAGCCATGAAGCAATTGACCAATTACCTGAAGTTGACAATGTTATTACAATATTTGAAAGACCTTACAGTGTTTTCAGATTAAAAGAAAAACATTTTAACCATATTATTTATATTCTTTCTAATGTATTTCAAATCTTGAAAGAGAAAATTTCAGAAAATTCTCCTTCCATCTTGTGAAACTACTCTTCTAAATGTTTTACTACCATCTTCCTTTCGAAAACATAAATTTCTACCTTTTAAGCTATGAACAGTTTACTTTTTTCTCAGTGCAGCACGTCAGTAGTTTTGTTTAGTCCAATAATTCGTTCGAGGAAATAGCTGGCTCTTCGAGTACGGGTATCAAAATCCCCGACAAGACCCCCTCGCATCTTTAGGGCCGGGAAGTAAGGTTCCATCCCAACATGACGTATCTCGTGTGATTTTGAAACCCTTCGACGGCACTACAAGCTCGTAGATGCCAGACTAGAGGCTCTTCAGTGTGGATGTGCGTACGCAAATATAACGTTATGAAAAACTTAATTTATTTTTGCGTGAGCAAAGATTTACTTTCACATGATTGAACAACAGAGGAACGCTCGAGAATAGAAAATGAGCGAACTTGTGATGTGTAATTCTAATTAGGGTCATGTGCCCTAAATGAGACGTTAGCCTCTGAAATGTGGTGAATGGGAGGTAGGCACGATCTTCCATCGGAGAGGTGGGGAGCAAATTGCTTGGTGATGGAGGTGCTGGCAATCATCTTGGCTTGGCGAGCAATTTGCTGCGTAGCCTGTCCGCTTCCAGCCCGCGATCTCCTCGAAGCGAATCAATGCTGAACCGCACTGAACCACCGACGTCCGCAGCACTGAAGTGAAGAAAAGATGAAATAGATCAAGCTCAGCGATTATGCGTTCTCGAAAAGAAAATCGAAGGTAGCTGAAAATCTATAACAGTAGGTTCACGTGATGAAAGAAACTTTTTTTGAAAATTTCCCCTGTAAGAATACGAAATACTTTTAAAAAATCTGGATTTTCTGATTATTAAGTACACGTTAATTTGGAAATAATGAAAATTAAGTGTGTAATTAATGACATGAAAATACTTTAATTTTTCGGTTTTATATGTAATAGATTTATTTTCGGATATACAACAACACATAAGTTGTTGAGAAAATAGTACTGACATTCAGAGTACTCCACATTACACATAAACACGTGTGTTTTTGTTGATACAAGTAAACACACTTTAATGAAGACTACGGAAGTTGTATTAATGTGGCTCAGTCTACTTCACCTACCTGTGTGAAAAACCTCTCATGATCTTGTCCTACAACTAGAATCCTTTCTTTGCACATCGCAAACGGCATATTGATGTTCCAGATGTCTTAAATCTGTGTCAAATCATTACGTTAACTTGATTCATCAACCCTTTTGAATAATATTGGGTAGTTAGATGTGAGTAGAATAGATATGATCTACCATAACGTAGAGGCCTGTAGAATGCGTAAATTTTGAAGAGATATACTTTCTAGAAGAGGGAAATACTTTAATTTTTAAGAATAATAGAAGAGCTCGTGACTGAATAGTTATCTGTTAATAGTCACATCTGACTAAATTTGAGTTATAATCCAAAATGCGTTTGTAATATACCTGTTACTATAAGGTATCTATAACAAGCTTTATTAAATAACGCTGGTTTCGCGTCAAAACTGAAAACTACGTTCAGGGACACGAACTGGAAAGTTGCTATAGATGTATATTATTGTTTGCAAGAATGTAACATAGGACTATAATGATCTGTAGTCCTTCAATTACGTAAATTGACTGAATTTCTGACAGAAACCGAAATAAGAATAACGCGAAAGGTTTTGACAACGAGGAACGTATCTATGGTGTCTATGGATATCTAACGGAAACAATTTTAGATGATTAAGATAGAAACTTACCTACATAATCCCTGATGCTGAGTGGTCATCTGGGAAACATTTAATTTTCAATTTGTATTATTGGGAGGCCAGTTCGTGGCCCAGTGCCAAAGTTGCTTGCCTTTCACCAAGGAGGTCCGGGCTTGATTCCCGGACCACGTTATTGTGAAATTTATTCCGACACAACGAGCTTGACTGCTTCACAAGGAGGTAGTCCAACCCCTATGAAGTGTCCTAAACACTGACACTGCTCTAATTCCTTCTCACTTCAGAAAAAAAATGTCAGAAGAAATTCAAGAAAATCATAACTTCAGAAAACCGAGGCTGGCATCCAACAGCTTTGAATATCGTCTTTAGGAGATCACCAAGGTACGCACGCGATCTATGTGTTACTACTACTATGGCGGACATTTGCTTTCAATTTTGGTCCCGTCTGCGTGTTTTCCCAACGTGCTCGTTGGCCTCGTCTTCTCGGGCGGTGCGCGGGCCCCGTTGCGGGAAGCGCCTGGCCATCTGAGCGTCGACCCCTGCGGTCGCGGTCGTCGCCTGCTCATAAACTGCATGCCCGCATCTCCATCGCTGCGTCCGCGGTGAGCCGGCCTCGCCGGGGACTTCGGACCGTCTGACCTCTGTCCTGCGCCGCGCAGCCCGTCACAACCTGGCGCATATCTCACGCCCGCCGCGCGCCAGCCTTCCTTTTTTCTCCCTCTTCGTCGTTAAAAGCTTCTGCTTCCCTTCCCGCCATGTTGTTTAAGCCCGAGTGAGGATAAGAACTCCATAGCTCATTTGCCGATGCAAGTGGTGTGTATTACGCGGGAATGAATATTTCTTGCTGTCAGATTTTGACAAGAAACACTCATTGCTACTTGGTTCAAAATTTAACTTAGTGTAGGAAACGACTGCGGGTTGGGATTCTCGAGCTCAAGAAACCATGCACTGGTCGTACTTCTATCACATAGTACATTGCGTACACTTTTTTAACCGTTTTTATCATTAAGTAAATAAATATAATCCCGTAACCCCTTGTAGTACTTGCCTTCCCATTTCCCAATACCTTTTGATTTCGAATTCGATACGTCGTGTTTGCATCTCGTTACCCAACACTTTTTCCAGAAATTCACACTCTACCTTCCTGGGCTCTCTTTCTTACTCCTTATATTTAGGGGTGCAATCTTTACTTTCCTTTTCATCTAAGCTTCCTCGCTTGCCCGACGGTCTCTCAAGCATTCACCAGCACCCCCACATTTTACGACCCTTCACCCGCACCCCACCCCTCTTCCCGCCCCCTCCCGCTGCCGACCGGCTGTGCTCTTAAACAAGACACACGCTCAAAAATTCGCAGAACTTTGTTTTCGGCCCAGAAGCTGCAAGGTATGTACGATCCAGTTTGCTTACGCATCTTGTATACAATAACCAACCTGTTAATATTTCACATTGTATATTTGTATTGTTTTTAGCTCTGAGGATGATCGCTACGCGATCGAAATGATCATTAGTTGAATTAAAATATTGATACCTGACAATATCTCTATTTATTTATCAAAATAAAAAAAAAGGTATTTACTTCACCAACAATCCAATTAATTAAACATGTACTAAAAGTTTGTTTTTCCTTTCGCTGACGATTATAGACATGTGCGTTTGCACTATGTTCTCTCGACATCTTCAATTCCAGAGCTCCTTTCGTTGGATTTAATGAATCTTCTAGTACTGTAATATGCCATGTTCAGAATGAGAGTATATACAAATGTACAGCTTTAAAAAAGTCCGTTACCAGAAAGGTTTTGAGAAAATAATGAAATCGGGGGCAGGGGTTTTTGAGTAATGATGATACATTCTCTTTATTATTTAAAAAATACAGTATTTAAGTTGAACTTTTGCGTAAAATGGAATAGTAGTTCAAATTTTCAAATAAAATTCTTTGTGTTCGTTAGAGACAGCACTCGTCAAGATTTCGTTAAAGAAGTATAAGCATAAAAGGCATTTATGAAACACGTTTGCAGTGCTGTGCACGTCAACAAAGTCATACGTATTGTGAAAAGTTACCAAACTAAGACGACAACTGCATGGACCTGCGTAATAGCTAGGATTGGCATCAGAGTAAAGTCAGCTCTAATGGAGATTAAAAAGTTGCTAAGTTAAACGCTAAAAGCTCAACTGACACTCATACAATGAATTGATGTTTTTTGTTGTTTGCTGTTCTTTAAAAGCTCAACTGTCACTCATACTATAAATTTATTTTTTCGTCGCTCGATAAGACCTTTTTACACGCTCACCATTTTAATTTTTTTAATTAGAGGATCAGGAGCAGAAGTAATGAACAGTTCACTCAAAGAGTGAACATCAGGCAACCGTCCCCCGTCCGGCCACCTCCTGCTGCTGGTCGTGGTCCTGCTCGCGTGGGCTGCCCGGGGCGGCTGGCGTGACGCACATTCGGCGGCGCCGTTTAGGCCGCTGTGTTTTTCCCTGCGCCGCGCGTGTCCGCCTGCCTCCTCTGCCTCCTCCGCCTCCGCGCCGCACAGTGGGCTCTAAACGGGCAATTGAGGGCCGTCCAAAGCGCCACGGAGGAGCAGGCGGGTAATCGCGGGCTTCCGCAGTGGAACGCCGGGCGGGGCGCGGGCGGGCGCGGGAGGGGTTGGGGCAGGGGGCGTGGCTGCCTCGGGCGATCAGAGTCCTGCGTTTGATGGCGACGCTTCTGCCGCAGTTACTACGCAGCGCGGCCCCGGATGGCGCGATCAAAGACGCCCCTCGCCCGCCCGCGCCGCAGGGAGCCCGCCCGCGCTCGCAGCCATTCGCGCGAGGAGGCCGCGGGCCGAGGCCCCACTCACCCACTCGCTCGCGGAATCAGGTCATGAAGCCAGGATTAATTCGTTTGGGTGGCATTTAAAATCTGAATTTGCTAGCAATTCCAATAATACTAGTTAATTTATTCTTATAATTAAAGAATGTTAGGTTAAAATAGTCTTGGTTAAAAATGTTCCAAACGAGGGGTATAAGTTCATCAGTTGATGAAAAAAAAATCTAGACCTTTTCTTTTAGTTTGACAAGGAAAAGTCTGAACACTTAAATCTCTGAAATGTATTCAGCCCTTACTTTAAACGTTGAAATCACTACACCTTTATTAAGTTATTTGGAATGCCAACAATCCATTGCCAATAAATCAATATGTTTGTGTTCTGATTGGTCAGAGCTTCGAAGACATAGTCTAACGAGAAAGTGTACAGTTCAATCACTTTGTTTGCCTAATAAAATAATGAAACTGGATTATTGAAAAATATTTGTTTTGGGGCGTAGCTTTGCACGATATTTAACACGTCAAAAATGCTCGTATCGTATACATTTCATTTGAGATCACAGCTTAAACCGAATAAGCCGTAAGAAGAATATGGGCAAGACGCTATTCTTGATTGTCAAAAACTGTTTGGGATAATAAATCCTTTGTTTGTTATCCTCCAATGGAGAAAAGTAAAGGAATTTATCATATAAAGAAATAAACCATTGGAATTGTCTATTGTGTGAAAAGTCATTTAAGTGAAAGTCATTGTCAGATATTTTCCTTTCTGAACCACCTAATTAAAAACAAAAATATTGAAAAAAGATTAATCTCGATAATGTCATAAAAATGTCAGAAGAATGTCTGGAAATTTCCCTATACAACTTATCTGGCCACTGCGTATTATCGTCCCCGGATTCTGAGATGGAAGCAGCAATGCGGCGAGCCAAGGATCAAAGACGTGTCTTGCCCGTCCTTAGGGCTCTTGCCCTTCAGGCAGGAAGTGAGAGCAAAGTGGCGGAATGCCAACATCAAAGATCTGAGCAGTCGACTTCCTTGAAACGCCCCGACTGTAAGGCACACTAATTGAATCCACGCAAATGTTTAGGCAAGAGCGCGGGAAGCCTTTTGTCCCAGGTTTGTGTACGTTTTTGCGCGTCTTTTCAATTGGAGTTCGCCGCTTTTGTGAAAATGTGAAAGGAGTAAGGATTTTCCGTATTATGATTTTAAAAAGGAGTTTGGCTATTAAAATATTTATTATTTTTCTCTCAAAATACACAATAATTAATACAGAAATATATTATAATTTATTTCATAAATTTATCTTTTGTTTCCTTTACATAATGTGTATAGTATTTTATGTGAGACATGTTTTGTGACAACACTTTAAACATTGCACTGACGATAAAATACTCGTCAGCGTCAAGAAACCATTAGCCAATTCCAAGGAAATCTCTCTTATTCAGATAGTCATTGTAACTTGGATTTGTATTAATTTCGTTTTACTTGTTTCGCGAAATGGAATATAAAAGGTGCCTTCAACAATTTTTTATAATGTTAATTGGTGTATCTAAAAACTGAACAGAAATATTTTCGTGTATTCTGAATTAATATTGGTAGGCAATGCACATCTCATGCTCTTTGAAAATGACGATAAAAAACCTCAACATTGATTCTATTGTTTAGAACCGATATCTTAACTTATTTTCGTCACGAAGCATTTCCAGTCAACAAGAGAACAATTAACCATTCAAACTGTAATAACTATCTTGGTTGTTAAATTACTTTTGCAAAATAACCGAATATTATTACCTAATTCACTGAAGATTGGTTGATTGCTGATAAAATAATTATGAGCAATACATTATTAGAAATCTTCACGATAATTGTTTTATTTTTATGATTAATTATTATTAATAAAGACCATAGAAATTAAAATTATTGCCTTGAAATTTTAATAATACTAATTGATACATTGCCTTTCGACTTCCTTTTCCCCGATAGTTTTACTAAAAGCATCACGCGCGCATGCATTCCCACTGTCCATGACCAGTTTGACAGTTACAAAGGATAGTCATCACAATATTTCGCTCTTCCCAGGGCATCCACTCCACACACACGGGTCACCATCCCCCTCGAGTCGGACAGATGAAATCGGAGCGTGCGCGGCCGACTCATCTCGCTCCCGGCGTGCGGAGTGGCCCTCGTTACTGTCACCGACACGCTGTTATTGACACCGCTCTGCCGCGGCTGTCGATTCAGCCGCATTCGCCTCCGCCCCGCTTCCACCTCCACCACTACAGGGTGATTCAAAATTGCCTTCGAACCTCTGAAAACCAGTTGCGTCACGATTTCCACGCGACACTGAGTGCCAAAAGGCATATCTCAATACTTTACGTTTTTCTTTCGTTTGACGTTGGATGTCATGGTCTCTCCATGTGCCAAACTTACTTACAAGTCATCAACTTATCGTATACGGATTTTAACGTAGTATGAAAATGACGGATGTTATTTCTAAAATTATTTTTTTCTCCTCTGTAAAGTGGTAGATTCGTTCTTTTAAACTTACGCTATCGAAAAATATGTGATATCTTCTTGCGATTCCATAAGCGCATTCCCGACAGCTGAGAAAAATGACGCACAGTAAAGTGCCAAAACTTAGAAAACACACGGAGAGATGCGGTCAGGTTCGTTCTAAGAAGGGAGACCTCTCTGTACCGAAGCGATGGCCCGAGAGGAAATGGAGAATGTGACGCACTCTTTACACTCTGACTGCGCGACACCGTTTCATAATTTCGTCCACATTACCATGGCGATAAAAGTGTCGTATGTTTTACCTTTGCATACACTACGTTGCAATAAGAAATATGTCATCGTATTAATGGATATTACAT